CACCCAGTCCACTGAGGGTCCAAATGGAAAAAAAGGCAGAGGAAGGGAGGATTAGCTGGGACATGGATCTTCTGACCTAGAACTGGGATTTATACCATTGGCTCCCCTCATTCAGGCTTTAGCACTTGGAGTAGAATTACATGGCGACATTCCTGGCTCTCTAGCTCACAGATGGCAGACTTCTCAGACTCCATAATTGCTTGAGCCAATACCTTATAATAAATCTCTTTCTATATATATATGCAAGTGTATGTATATATATATCTGTTCCTCTGGAGAATCTGGACAATCTAATTTTCTTACCTGTAGAATGAAAATAATAATACGACACAGGATTCTAGAGAGGAGCAAATGAGATGAGAAGTAAATGCCCTGTATGTAGTAACCATGCCATGGATGTCTACCATTATTATTACTTCTTATGTGTCCCCTCCTCTGGGAAGCCCTCCTTGACTCAGGTTAGATTACTTTCCTGTGCTTATCAGCATGCTAGCACTTAACTCGACATATAACAAATCACCTGTTCACTTGACTATCTTTCTCACAAGCCTGAGCTCCTTGAGGGAGAGACTGTGCTATGGGTTTCAATATCCCCAGGACTGAGTGCAGGGCCTGGCACATGATGGTGCCCACCTGCATCTGTGGGGTGAGCTCCTGGGGTGTGCCAGAGAGGGAAGGTATGCAGCAGGTAGTGGAGTTTTCAAGGAAGGTGCCCAGGGAGGATGAAGGCATGTGGCAGGCAGGTGGGCCAGGAGCTGGGGTTGGCAATGGAGGTGGACAGTTCCAGACAGGGAGCCTAAGCCTCCTGCCTCTTGTCCTGAGCCAGGGTGTGGCAGTCAAGTCCACCCCAGCTCTCTAGCCCTGCCCCGTTTACTGTTCTCTACTGCCAGTGCTGGCCCCTGTCATGTGATGCTGCTACTACCTATTGGGTACCTTACCTTTTGTTGGGGAGAGCAGGCCCGTGAATGGAAGGGGTCGTTGAGAGGGTGTGGCTGGTCCTCCCCTGGGGCCTTGGCCCCTACCCTCTCTGGTCTTCACTTGGTAATAGCCCTTCTGGCACTGGGGTTAGATCTGGGCCTGGTGAGTGTTCTGCTTCTCTGCGTGACAGCAGCAGGTACTGTGTGGCAGGCTGGGGGACTGTGATCTCTAACTGTTGGGGAGGCCCAGCCGAACAGAAAGCCGCTGAAATACCTTTCTGCTGTCCTCCCCTTTCCGGTCATGGATTAGAGGGCCTCTGCACACAGCCTGCGCCCACCCGCGTTTCTCTTTTCCCTTCTTCCTCTTTTCAGCAAAGCAACCCCTGGCTCCAGGATCGCTGTGCTGGGCCTGGAGGGCTGGGGCGGACCCCAGGGATGCCTTACTCCATGAGGATCCTGACAGTGCAGGTGGGGCTCTCCCCTGCCATGCACATCTGGGTACCACCTCCCCTTATTGCTGCTGGTCTTCAGGACTCCACTACTCTGCTGTTCACAGAATTTGTCTATTACCTTTTGTCTTAAATTAAAAAGAAATTTATTGTGGTAAGAACACTTGACAGGAGATTTAACCCTCTAAACATGTTCTTAAGTGTATAATGTGCTGTTAACTCTGGGCACAATGCTGTACAGAAGATCCCAGCGGTCTTTTATAATCTAGCCTTGAAGGAACACGGTATCACTGCTGCGGTATTCTGTGGGTCTCACAGACCACCCGCCACAGTGTGGGAGGGGGCCGCAGGATGGGAACGCCGGGAAGCGGGGACCCGGGAGCCATCTTGGAGGCTGGCTATCGCGGAAGTAGATGTGTTATCTTAGTTCAATAACCGCAGAAGATCAGTTAGCAGCATGTTAATTTTGCTCCGTATAGTTGTAATTCAGCTGTATTAACTCGAAGGGAGTGCATTTAGGGACTCTGACCCTTTCCTCTTTCACCTTAAGATGCATCCCCTGCAAGCATCAAATAGGAGGATGCAGATCAAAGCACGACCAACAGGAGACCAAACACAAGGGGTGGGGCTTTGGGAGAATAACAATGGGTTAAAAAGGACCATGAAGCTGTTCAAAAGGAGAGAGAGAGGGCAGGAAGGAGAAGCCCTAGAAAGAAAGCTGTTTCCAGTCTCAGGGAAGGTCTCCTTAGTGTGAGTCTTGAGAATCGAGGGCTATGGTCCCACACCAGCAGATTATCCAGACTGACAGGTTCAGAGGCTGGAGACTGCAGGTTCGAATCTCCCACACCCAGTGGGCTTTGTGTGGACTTTCAAGTCTGAAATAAAGTCCTTTAGTGAAGGACTCTTTAAACACACTGTGTATGTGCCATGCTTGCTAATAGCTAGGCTGTTCTGCTGGGTCCTGCACCATCGCTTCCGTTCACAATAACGAGTTCATGGCAGGGAAGGCTGCACCTGAACCCCAGATAGTTGACCTGTGTATTACTCTCTGTTCTATTTCCCTTTTGTTTCCTCCAAGACTTTAATAAACCCTTATTCAAATAAGATGCACCCTTGTCCCATCTGTGCCACTCAGTAAGAAATGAGTGGTGGGGAAGCACCTTGTGAGGCATCAAAGGCACACAGATGTGACATGATTTGCTCAAGATCACCCAGTGAGGGAGTGACAGGGACCCTGGGGCAGCTCTCTGCCCCTCCTTGCCCACCTGCCGGCTCACCAATGGGCAAGCAGGGCTGTTGAGGCCCAAACTGAGGCCTGAAGGAGGGATCCTGGAGTGTCAGTAATGCAGAAAGATGACAGGGGACATGCTGCAGGGGATCAGAGGCAGGAGGGTGGGGGCCTCTCAGGCAAGAGGAGAGTGAGAGCAATCCACAGGGCAGGTGGAGGCCGCTGGCTGGTTCGCGCATCTGTGGGGATGGGGGGTGAGGAGCCAGGAGGGTCGGGGAAGTGATCACAGAGGGGTCCTGGCCTGGGCAGAGCCCCTGCCTGGGGGCTCAGCCCCTTGAAGGGTGTGGCTTCAATGTATACCGTGGGGGCGGGGCCCCTGAGGGACCCGCAGGTGAGAGTGGGGCCTGTCTCCCCATCTGCCCCTGTGTCCTGCGCTGAAGCCTCCCTTTTGGCTGGCAGGGAGGCAAGAGGGCTGTTGCTTTGAAGCTTGTAGGCTGGCCGGCAGGCACTGAAGAGCCATCCAGATCTGGGTGGGGGGCTCTGCAGGGCAGGGCAGTGCGGGCTGGCACCTGTCCTCAGTGGGTGAGGGGTTCTGGTCTGGAGCCTGGGAGGGGCAACAACCCCCCTCCTTCACCGTCCCCCAGACGCCGTACCTGCCTGCACAGCCAAGGTGAGAGTCGTACTGGCTCTGAGTCTCTGGCGTCAGTCATTCACACTTTGGTGTGAATATTAGCCACTGTGCAATCTCAGAGGCACTGGTAGTGATGCCTTATCCCTGACTATAGAACACAAGGATTTGCTTCCAGTTAAGAGAATTTCCATCATCAGGTGAAGAGGTAGGAGGCAGTAAGAGCAGGAATAGCTAACATTCCTCAGTGCTTATTCTCTTCCGGGCACTCTGCTGAGTGATTTTCACGGAATCTTCAAAAAATTCCCATGAGGAAGGAAGTCCTCTTGGTACTGCCTTGTATGACCAGCACATGAGGCTAATTTACTGAAGGCTGAGTAGTGGGACACCAGGGTTGCTAGTAAGCTAGCAGTGTGGCACCAGGGTGGCCTCACCTGACCGCTGTGTAACACTCCTTCCCAATTTTAGCTGCCATTTTAGAACTTCTGAATTAAGATTGATCCATGATCCCAATGGATCATGCTGGCTATGCTGCTGGGGGTGACCCAGTGCCTGGGCACTGTTCATGGGGGCAGAACAGAGGCTCCTAGAGCTGCCTCCTCCCTAGTGGCCAGAACAAAAGTGAGGCCAGAGGGAAGTGAGCCTTGGGACTGGGTGGGTGTGGGGACACAGGAGCCTCACCCCAGCTGATGGTGGTCCAGTAGTCCTTGAGAAAACAGAGGTCCTCTTGTTCTTGCTGGGGAGTGTGGGAGGTCAGCTCCATTTCAGGCTCTGGAACCTAAATGGCCTTGGTGAGAGTGGGTGTTCAGGATGGAGCATAAGCTGGCCAAGGGCCATCCTGTTAGCTGAGATCTAGGGGAGGACGAGGGCCTGGAGTGTGCTGATTCTGGCCCCTGGTTAGCATGGTTGCTGCTGGTACCCCTGGCCCAAGGGGCCTGGGCTACCATCTTTGTTTCTTTTCTCTCTTTCTTCCATGCAAGCCCAGGTCGGCTTATCAGAGTCCCACCAAGTCCCATCACCCACTTCCCTTTCACCTCCTGCTATACCTACATGGTCTCCCCATCCTCACCTGATTCTGTAATCACGGACACAGCCCTGGGATGCCTCCAGGTCAGGCCCTGGGGACCCTGATGGCCTGGGTTCTTCATGACTGAGGGGGTTAGGATGGAGGGCAGTTGGGGAAAACACCTAGAGAGCCAGGTTGTGTATGGGAGGTGGTCCCAGGCTGGGCAGGAAGCTGCAGTGGAGGAAGGGTCTTTGGAAGAGCAGGCAGGGAAGGGGTGCAGGCCTCCACCCTCATCTCCATCCCCACCCACATCATGGACCACTGGTCTTGTACTGACCTTTGGGAACATAGGCCTGGATCTGACTGGTCCTTGCTGCTTAAGGATGGCATTTGGGTCAGGGAAGGGGCCAGCGTGGCCAGGCCTCTGCTCTCTCTTGGGATCCTAGGATTTGCAGTGGCTTCTAAGGGTCCCTCACTGCCAATAGGGATCCAAGCACATTACAGGATCTGACTCCTGGCTGGGGTGGCCTTTGTGCTTTAGGGTCAAGGAATTGCCTACCTTGCCTGAGCTTCCTTTCATCATGCAGGTCTGGGCACATGGGGTGGGGCCGTGTGAGACAGTGGCTGAGCAGAGGGGGCATTTGGTGCTAGACTTTGCCCCTTCTGCCTCCTCTGGGCCCCCAACTAGAATGCAGAATGTGGACAGAACACAGTCCACTGACTCAGCAGGCACATACCTGCTTCTGTCCAGTCCACTGTTGGGCAGCTTCGATCTGGACTGACCTACAGGATCAAGGCTAAAGGATCCTTTGGAGTTTAGGTTGGAAGGTTGCTTGTGAACATGTAGTGCCATCTGGGCCTGCCCAAGGGGCATGGGTAGGGATGTGGAATGGGGCTGGCTCAGCAGGTGCAGTTATTCCATCTTTCGTGGAATAAACATTTTGGATTCCTGATCATCTCCAGGGTGAGCAAAGTCAGAGTTGGTCCTGGGTTCCACAGCCCTGTGTGCCCAGGAAGGGCTGGGGTGGGACACCATCCTCTATGGTTGTTCTCCCCTGCCTTCTTCACTAGGATGCCTGGTGGCCATCTCTTCCAGATGGAGCAGCCTGATTTGAATGAGAGGTATGCATCTTGTCAAGGTGAGTATGTTGGTTAGGTGTTGGTGTATGTGCGTGTGTGTGTGTGTGTTGAGAAGATGAACCTTGCGGGATCTCTGGCTCCCATGGCAGTGAGCAGCGCCCCCTGCTGCCCACAGGGGAAACAGTGGCCGGGCTTCCACAGTCTCAGTAGGTGGGGCTCCCACACCCTCTTGGAGATGCCTCTGAAGCTGCCCATTCTGGAAATCCAGGCCTCCTGTTGGATTTTGGCTCCTGCGGTGGGGGGTGGGTGTCCAGTGCATGAGGTGGACCTGCAGTGTGGATGGTGTCGATGCTCATGGCACAGGAGTTTTGGGGGATTGAGGCTGCTTTAGTGAGGGCCTGACGGTCACCACAGAGGCCTGTAAGCTCCTGGGTCAGGCCCTCAGGCAAGACTCCAGTGAGGGTGCTGGCCTGACATGAAGAGCGCAGAGGACAGTCCTGTGGGGAGAGGCCGGGACATGCACTGTGAACTCAGAGTGGGGACTTAAGCAATGAATATACATGGAGCATCCCCTTCTGTTTTGCTGTGTCTTGGAAAGGGTCAAGGCAGGATCCGGCAGCCCCTGGTGCTTCTGCTGGGGGGCTCTGTCCAGAGGAGGGCTCTCTGCTCCCCACTCTGCTACAGACATCTGCAGAGAAGCTGGGCATGGGCAGGGAACAAACTATTCACTCCCACTCTAAGTTCTTTTCTTTCTTTTCCAGATTCATTCCAGGGTGTGCGGCAGGATCAGTGGTGCAAGCCCAGTTCTTGGCCAGAGCCCCAGTGTCCGTCCTGAATGTGTAGGGGGCTTAGCCATTCAGGAGGGGAGGGGTGTTCATCTATTGAGCACAGGCAGGGACTTACCCATACTCCCTCCCCTATTTCCACCCCTCTGACCTCCGCCCCCCTCCAACTGAGCTCCCTTCTCTCTGACTCTTGCCCCTCAGGACTTTTATTTATGAAAGAACCAAGGGCCCAGGGAGATAGGGGAGGGATGGAGGCAGCCAGAGGCCCTGACCCTGAACAGGCCCCACCCTTCTGGGCTGTTTTCCAGGGCAGTGGTTCTGGGACCCTCAGGGAGAGGCCTCACTGTCCTTGGTTCTCCCCTGTCTCCAACCTTTCTGGCATTTAGGCAGAGGGTCACTGTAGCCAAATCTGTCTGTCTTCTCCCTGCTGTTGTCTTCACACCCCCTGTCCCTCATCTTTGTAGCCCTTGATCTTCCATCTGCTTCCTTCTCCAGTCTTTTCTGGCCTTCTCACTGCCTGTCCTTCTCAAAGCCCACAGGGAGGCCAGGTCACTATTTAGATGCTTCCAGCCTCCCCCAGGGCTGGACGGGGGTCTTGCCCTGGCCCTTCTGTCTTTCCCCAGCATGTAGGATGGAAATGTGAGGTAGCCAGTGTTCTTCAGATGTGGGGACACCTGGTCTATTGAACTCTGGGTGGGTGGGCCTGCCTTGGGCCTTGTTCTCTCCAGCACAGGAGGCTTTATGGAGAAAAAGGACAAGGAAATGGACAAAAAGACTACCAGCAGCTCCTGTTTAAATCCCAGAACCCCAGGCACAGTTTACAAAAGGTCCACCAGGAGAGTTTTCACTAGTCCCCAAATGCTTGAAGCCGATGGGAAAAAGAGGCCAAATGAACCAAGGAGAGTTGTGACCACGACCACTCATTGTCAGGGGCGTTTCCCCTTGCCTTGTGTCTTTCATCCAGGAGGCCAGACCTTAAACTGGATGCGACATCACCAGTAGACAGTGGAGTGTGAGAAAGGACTTTGGCCTGGGGGCTGCGGTTACAGATTAACATGTGGAGTGGGGAGGAAGGACCCAGAGGGTGTGTGAGTGGCCCGAGAAGGGGACTGCTGACCTGGGACAATCGGGGCTTGAAGGGGCACAAGCAAGAGGAGGCCTGGCATGGTTTGGAGGGGCCCAGATCCTCTCTGGCTACTTGAGCTTCCTGAAGACCTGCTCACACACTGCATCCCTGGCTGTCAGCTGCTGCGAACAGAGGAGGAACGATGAGGCGAGAGAAGGTTCTTGCCAGCTGGGGCTCCTTTCTTAAAATTTAAGCCTTGACCTCCAGTGAACCTTCCAGGGTACACTATCTAGGACATTTGATGTATGGGGCATGGTATTATTGCTCTAAACCTTCAGTGCCTCACCCCAGAGGCAGGGAGGTAGCTGGGACAGGGAATGTGAAGCAGCTGCATCTCCATGTCTCCAGCTGTGACTTACGTCCACTCATCTGACTTGCAGCCCGGGCCACCTGGGCCCCTCTCTTTCTCCCTCTTGCCACTCCTCCCAGTGCTTGTTTTTCCTTCCTCGGTTGCAGGGCAGGGGCTGGAGCACTGATTTGATTTGGGCAAGGGGATGAATCCTGCCTCGAGGCCCCCCTCCCAGACGGGTCATCTGCATGCCCTCACCCAGCTTACCAGATACAACTTCTCTCCCTCCAGCCAGTGTCTCCAGCCTCGGTTGGGGACCTCCCCTTTCTGCACACATACCAGCTGCTCTGTCTCCCAGGTTACTATGGTCTACAGGGAAAGCAGGAATTAAGGAAGATGGGGGGGGGGCAGGACACCCAAAAGGCATCCGACTCATTCTGGCTGGGCTGCCGCCCAGAAACTGTGTTGCTCCAACCCCTTCCTTCTGAGCAAGAGGCCTGCTCCCATTCAGCAGCCTGACATTTCCCAATTCTGAAATCTCCTGGGGGGACCCACAGTTTGTCTCCAGTGATCACTGGGGTGGAGCAGGTGGAGAGGACAACCAGGGGTAAAACTGGTATGTGTGTGCTGCAGAGTGGAGATTGTGTCCCCTGGATACCTCCAGTTGAGCTGGATGGGTCTTTTGGAAAGAAGAGAGACTGGTTGGGGCTCCCATCAGGGAATTTCTTCTCTCCTCTTTCTCATTTCAAGGACAGCTGAAGTGTCCCTGGGAATGAAGGAGGAGGTTCCCTGAATCACAGCTGGCTGGGCCTGGGCATTCCAACCCACATTTATTGAATCCTCCCATAGGAGAGGTCTTCCTGAACAAGGAGCTCAGAATCTTGATCAGATAGAGCAGTAAGCAGGGATCTGTACCAGGCAAGGGAGGTGGGGGCAGGAGAGGGGAGGGAAGAGCCAAGGAACAGAGGTGTTAATTAGTTGGGGGTCATGGGAAATACCTAGCAAGGAAGAAACAGCATAGAAGTAAATAAAAAGGCCAAATAGTTGAGAGGAGCTCTAACCTAGAGTGTACGTGGTCAAGACCCTTGTATGCCATGGACCTTATCTGGAATGTAACAGATTATCACTGAAAGGGTATCAGTCAGGGAATGATACAGTCACTTTTCATTTTAGATAGATCCTTTGGCTCCAGTATGTCGGGTGGATTAGAGGAGGATTAAGACTGGAGGCCAGTGTTGGGCACCAGGTGAAAAATGAGGGCCTAAATTAAGAGAGAAAGACTGGCAAGGATCAGCGATGTTCAGTGGAAATATAATGGCTCATAAATGCTAGCCACATATGTAATTGAAAGATTTCTAGTAGCCACATTAGAAAAGTAAAAAAAACACAGGTGAAATTAATTTTAGTAATATATTTTATTTAACATAAAATATCTAATATATTATAATTTCAACATGTAATTAATATAACAATTTCTGAGAGATTTTACATTATTTTTTGTTGTGTCTTAAAAATCCAGTGTGTATTTTAAACTTATAGTACATCTCAATTTGAACTAGTTACATTTCAAGTGTTCTAGAGCTATATATGGTTAGTAGATACTTAATTGGACTACATATAGGGCAGAAAAGTTATAAAGACTTCTTGATCAATTAGATATGTGCGTGTGTGTGTGTGTGTGTGTGTGTGTGCGCGTGTTGGGGACACAGAAGTAAGGGAACACAAGATATTAACTGTGACTCCCAGGTCTGTGGTCTGGCCTGTTATTGCTATTAATAGAGACTGTAAATATGAAAGCAGGCATAGGTTTGCGTAGAAAGGTAATGAACTTGGGTTTGACCTTGGGGTATGCGGATGAAACTGTGCAGGCAGCTGAAAACTTCACCCTGGAGCTCAGGAGGTATCTCTGGCTGGAGAATATATGTCAAGGGCAGTTTATATATGGTAGTTGAAAGCATAGGTGTGGATGATTTAGCCATGGACGGTGTACAGATGAGAGACAGTCAAGAACAGAGTATGGGGAGGGGGAACCCCAGTTTAAGGGATTAATTGGGAAACTACAGTCTGTAAAGGAGACCAAAGGGAATACGTAGGAAACACAAAGAAAGGGGAGGCAGTTACAGAGGCAACAGGAAAAGAGACTCTGGGGTGACCAACAGTGTCACAGGCTAGAAGGTGAGCAAATATGTGCTTATTGGTCTGAGGATGACCTGCTCTTTCTGTCCTTTCAGCCGGTGATAAGAGGGGCCAGGGAAGGAGGAGGAGAGAGTGGGTTGGGGCAACACCAGGAAGGAGCCTGTTATCCTGGGGAGCCTGCAGCCTGTCATCTGGTCACCTTCCCTGGCTCTGGCTGGGGGAGGTTACTTTGTTTTGCCCCCAATTGTTGAGGCACCTCCCTGCTCATCCATGTCCCTTCCCTAAGCCTGAGAACACGTACTTGGCACTTGCGTCCATCCACGATCCGTAGATCCTCCTCAAACTCAACTCCCACCTCAAATTTCAGAACGTAGTTGCGGAAGGTGCTGAGCATCTTCACCGTCATGTGGTTGCCCTGATGGTCAATCTCCTTGTCTGGCTTGAGCAGCAGCACTATCTTCCTCAGCGCCAGGCCGATGTCTGCGGGCATGGAGTCTTAGCAGGGGTCCTGCCAGCCAGCTAGGGGCCACCCCACCCACAGCAGCACCTCAGGGCTCCGAGCTTTCCTGCAGCTGGGTCAGGGCCTGTGGGTTTACCCCTCCTAGCCGTGCCCCTGGCTAGAAATGGATCCCCAGTGCTGGAGCCTCTCCACAGCATCCAGCCCCAGCTTTCTCTTCTCAGTGGGACGGAGATGTGGGCAGGGAGAGGGAGGGAGGGAGGGGGCCGGGGAGGGTGAGGCCGTTACTTAGGGCTTGCAGGTAGTCCTCCAGGTTCTTCTGCGAGACAAAGCGGTAGTAGCCGGTGAGGTTGGGAGGCATTGTCTGCCCCGGCTGAGGTGGAAGTCAAGATTTCAGGAGGCTATAGGGGATGGGTGAGGAGGGAGGGTGTGCTGTCCAGCAGGTAAGGCAGAGACTCCAGGCCGGCCTCCATGCAGAGTACTCGGACAGGCTGTCTAAAGGTCTACGCTCACCAGGGATTTTATAGATCTGGGGCCCTGTTGCAATAAGAGTTCTGACCAGACTTCCTCCTGCTGCCCACGGTGAATCTGGGGCTGGTGTCTGCAGCATAAGGGAGGGGCAGGGACCTGGCACGGTTGTGCCTGACCTTGGCATTTCCTAAGGAAGGAACCTAGAGCAGGATCTGGGGGCTGTCAGTCATCCAAAGCTTGAGCCTTTCAGAAGGTCAGTTTTGGCCTTCAGTGCCTCTGCAGGAATGGTCCTGAGTTCTGAGGGGCAGTCTCCCCTGGGAGGGAGCTGGTCTCGCTGGGTGGAGGGGGGCCCTTCCAGGCTCACCCAGGGATGAGTTCTAACAGTGTCCTAAGGACCTAGGACTGAGTCAGGGACCCTGAAAGGTCTGAGGAGGAGAGCCATCTGGCTGGGAGCCGTGGTGAGGAAAACCCTGTAGCGCTGGCCCCACTGCTCTCTCCGTCCGCCTTGCTGAGCTGGGGCCCCAGCTCTTACGCTCTGGACTCTTGGTCCTATAGGGCCGTTAGCAGGGAGGCAGAGAAGCTGCTCTTCCCAAGCACAGAGGGGGCTGTCAGCCCGAGGAGGTGTTGAGTTCGCAGCCCGAAGCGGAGGGGTGAGGGGGAAGTTTGTTGACTCTTCTGAAGTCACTGATAGCATCACCCCTAGTCCCAGTCTTGTGACAGCCCGTGCTTACCAGATGCATTCTCGCGGTGGTGGTGGGCTGCCTAAGTTACTGTGTGCCCACCTCCAGCCGCAGCCCCCAAACCAACCTACTTCTCCAGCCTCAGAATCAACTGGGCTGCTTCATCATGGTTGAAGGTGGGAAAATCAGGGAGAGTGAGGCAGGGAGGGCAGGCAGTGGGAAAACTCCCACCTGGTGGTGTGAGCTGTCAAGATATGGGGAGAGGTGTGTGTTGGGGAAGGGGTGGTGCACAAGTATTTCACCCTTTCTTCAGCCCCAGAACCTTTTCCACCCTCTGCTGATCACCCCGTGCTGTCCTCCAGACCCAGGGCTGGGAACTGAAATGCAGGATTTCAGGTTCAGGCTCTGGGCTTTACTTCAGGGTCCCCAGGAGGAGCACAGCAGGGACGTGCTGATGGAACGGGGGCCGGAACAGAGGTTAGTTCAGAGTTGGTGGGGGCGGCGGGAGTGGGGAGGGCGTTGGGGTGTTGTGTGTGACACGAATACTGCTCTTCCTTGGCTCCCCACCCTTGGGGCTCCGTTGACGTCGCCCTTCCCCACCCCCGGGCTTCTAGCTTTTCCATCCTGCCAAGGTCCCTCTTATTTCCCACCCCTGCTTCCTCTCCAGCCCCCGCAATTCCCTTGCTCCTCCGAATTGCAGTCAGAGGAAAAGGCCCTCACACGTTTTCCCGCCCCTGCTCCCCGGTCCCATTGGCTCCCTGCCCCCCTGCAGCACCTGGCCGCGCCGGGCCCCCCATTGGCCACCGGCTCCGTCCGTCCGCCCGGCTGTGCTGACGTCATCCTGCAGTAGCGGGGACGGGGTGGGGAGGGGAGAGAGCCTGAGGACGCCGGGCTCCGGAGCCGACGAGGCCGCTCCTGCAAGTCCCCCACTCCTGCAAGCCCCCCACTCCGGTCCCCCAGGTCAGGGTCTGCCCGGTCTGCCCCATGGACTAGTCTGCCCTGCTGTCTGTTGTCTCCTTCCCTCCTGGGAGAGCCCCTGCATCCGTCCCCCAAGGTGGAGTAAGTGGGCTTGGGGCTCTCAGGGGACAGCCATCCCCTGCCCTGCCCTGCCTGCCCCACACCATGACCCTCCTGCTGGTGACCCTCTTGCTGGCCTTGATCCCCTCTAGCTCCTGTAACAAAGGTGAGTAGTCTGCGGGGTGGGGGCACTGAAAGAGGGGCATCAGGCAGAGCCCTGTGGGGCAGGGGTGGGCAGGCTCTCTGGCACATGACAGGTGCCCATTCTCCTCTAGCCACCGGTTTGCTCAGACCTGCCCTCGTCTCTTCTCCACCACATCCTCCTCCCTGGTCAATTTCTACCCATGTGCTGCACTTGCTCTCCTCTGGTCCCCATTCCCATCCTGGGGTCTCTGTCTCCCCCTCCCCAAATTTCTGCCTGCTGCAAATACCTTGGGTCTCAGAAGGACTTGCCCCTGAAGGGTGATATGCACCTCTGGGTGGTTCTGTTTTCTCTGGGCTGTGCGGGCACTAAGGGTGTGTGGCAGACCCATCTGGCTCATCTCCATCCCATCCTGGGGAGAAACTGTTCCTTACAGCTCAGCAATTCGGAGCACGTATGTTTTGGTGTGTTCCTCTGCATCCATACCCTTGTGCCTGCACACAGCTGGGCTGTGGGTTACCAGAGCTGCCCTCTCTGGTAGACAGCAGATAAATTCAGCTGGGTGAGGCCGTCAGAAGGACGGAAGGGAGTGAGGGGAGGGGTGGTGGTGGAGGGCTTAGGCAGGGGGAAGGAGGCAGCAAAGGGCACCAGTGGGTGTGGGGGGTGCTAAATGGTGGTGAGAGGGAAAGCTGAGGGGGAGGCAGGTGAGGAGTGGGAGGTGGTAAGGGGGATGGAGGAGGGTAAAGGTGGAGACAGGAAAAAAGCGGAATGAAAGGGAAATCAGGAAGAGCAGGCGAGGTGGGTGAGTCAAAGAAGAGATGGAATCAGGAACAAGTGAGAGGAAATGGCCCAGGAGAGAGTCAGGGAGTCAGAAGCGAGCTGTGGAGGGGTGCCCAGTGCTGGCCTGGCAGTGCCGCAGCCTCTCCCGGGGCCGTGTTCCGCACCTCAGTCTCTGACCTCAGCCTGGCTTCTTAGCCTCCTGCCACTTCTGTGCTGCCTCTGGAGAACCATCTTGTGGCTTTCTCCTCTGCCATCAGAGAAGTGGGTGGCAGTGGTCATCTGCAAGACAGGGGCAGGCATTCAAATACCAGGAGGCTTTTTGGGGTGTGGTTGGAGGAGAGAATGCAAATCAGGATTTCTTGCTCACCATGATGTACTGGACATGAGCTGCCTTTCGGTGACTCAGTTTCCCTCTGATGATTTGTCCTCCTCTCTCCGTGTCCTGCTGATGGGCCATCGCGAATGCACTTTGGGGACATGGGGGTGGCATGATGGGATCAGATAGAGCAAGCAGCAGAGGCTGGAGTTGGTGAGGTCGAAGGGAAAGGGAGCACTCGGCACCTTCCCCGTGGCCCCCACCAGGCTAGTGGGAGACGGGTTCTGGGGAGGAAACAGAGTTGAGCTGGATCTGGAAGGAGAAGTGGAGAACTGGAGGCTGAGTGAGTCCCACATCCATCCTGGGTTGGCTGGTGGTTGAAGGGAAGAGGGTTGGGTAGGTAAAAATCAGGACCAAGCTATGAGTCTGTATAAAAGTTGGAGTTCAGGGAGCACAGGGTTCGGTGGCCTTGTGGGGGACACAGAAACATGCTGGTCATGAGTGTGTTTGCTTGGGTGTCGGGGTGAGAAGCAGGGAGGGGATTTGCGTATTTCTAGGCCAGTTGGATAATCCCTTAGGATGCTGGCTCTGCTGGGCTGGTCATTTGTCATCGATTCCTCTGTTCCCTCTCTGCCCTTCTTGGTCTGACTCCCTCTGCCCTATATATTTCTTCTCCCCTCTTTTCTCCTCTTCCCTCTACTCTGGGAGAATGGCCTTAGGTTGGGGCTTAGCTGGGAGAAATGCAGGGTGCAGGATTGAAATTGGGGTGGGGGGTGGGATAGAGAGGATAAACAATCAGGATCTCAGGAAACTTCTAGGTATTCTTCTTTTCCTAATCTCAACTCTGCCCTTAATCTACGCCTTCCTTTTCCTAGGGCCTTCTGATGGCCCACCACTGCTCTGTGAATCCCCTGTCTCCACTCTCCAGCACTTCAAGTCCCTAAAGAACACTCTCTACCCTCTGACCATGTTTCCCAGGGGAGAGAGTGCTCGTCCTGTTGTTATGGAAACTGTCCATCCTGCCTAGAAGGCTGTGACCTCTCACAGACACTCTGACTCCTTTAACAGATGATTTCTTGTCCTCAGCCCTTCCTCCTGCAGGTGCTTCTCCAGTCGGGAGAGGGGTGATGCTGGGGTGTGAGCTTGTAGGGGTCAAGGGGTTATGTGGGGGGTGGAGGGCGAGCTCCCAGGTGCCTCCTTTCCTTCTCCTGGGGCGTCAGCCAACAAGCACAAGCCATGGATTGAGGCAGAATACCAGGGCATCGTCATGGAGAATGACAACACGGTCCTGCTGAACCCACCACTCTTTGCTTTGGACAAGGATGCCCCCCTGCGCTATGCAGGTAATTGGGTTAGGGGACGGCAAGACGGTAGGACAGAGAAAAGAGGTTGGGGTGGCAGTGGGAAAGGGAGGAGATGGGAAGTCCTGGGAGGGAGAGCAATGAGGAAGTGGGGCAGAGGCCTTGGCAAAGGGGAAGGAAAAGTGGGCTCAAGGATCTTGATGGAGTAGAGGGAGCCAGAGAGAAGGACATGGGCAGGCCGGGGTTAATGCATCAAGGTTTTAAGATTTTGCCAGGTCCCACAGGAGTGGCTCTGAGAGGTTGCTGCTCAGGCAAGCTGGGGTTGGAGCTGTGTGATGATTGCTTTTATTGTGCACAAGAGAAGGGACAGGGGTTTTGGGGGAAAGGTGAAACAGGAACCTGAGGCTGGGAAGGGGCGGCTGGAGATGGTGCAGTAGCCTCCTCCCCACCCACCTTGGCCAGGTGAGATCTGTGGCTTCCGGCTCCATGGGTCTGGGGTGCCCTTTGAGGCTGTGATCCTGGACAAAGCGACGGGAGAAGGACTGATCCGGGCCAAGGAGCCAGTGGACTGCGAGGCCCAGAAGGAGCACACCTTCACCATCCAGGCCTACGATTGTGGCGAGGGCCCCGATGGGGCCAACACCAAGAAGTCCCACAAGTGAGGAAGCCCCTGCCCCCTTCCCTTGCTGCAGGGACCCCCTCGCTCCTCTTAAGCCCCTCAGTGTCCTCTGCCATGCCGTCACTGAATACCTACCGTCCACCTCTGTTCATGGAGTTTAAGGACAGGGACCTGCTCCTCCAGGAGCCTTCAGTCTAGGTGACAGCAACAGAGGAGAGCTCAGTGGGATCTATACCTGGTTCTGTCACTTATGACCTTGGGCAGTTACTTAGCCCTTCTGGACCTGCTTTTCCTTATCTGTAAAATGGGGCTAATGATGATACCTACCTCTTTAGGTTGATGTGAAATGAAAGGAGAGGGTTTGTAGGAAATGCGTGCACCACAGTGCCTGACACGTGGGGAAGGGCTCAATACATGAGGCTTACGAGGAGGAGCAGGATGAGATACGTTCCACCTGCCCTGCCAGCCTGTGCACATGCAGATTGGCATCAGGAGGGTGGGTGGGAGACAGCGACTGCATGAGGAGGCTGGGCCCCGGATGCCTATGTCTGCTGCCAGCGGACTTCTTGTTTGGGAACAGGAGAGAGATTGGCAGTCAGGATTCCCGGGCTAATAAATGCCCTATATATTGTGACTCAGTTTCCCATTTGGAGATAGTGCCCTTGCCTGGCTCCTGGATGTAGGCTAGGGGCAGGGCTCAGCACGAAGGGCTTAGCTCCAGCTCAGCTTGCCCTGTGGAACCTGAGTAGGGAGGAGCCAGTGCTGACATGCACATTTCACACGTGTGCACAGAAGGCAGCACCTGGTTCATGTGTGCTGTTCATGTCACATGACTCAAGGCTTTTGTACAAATGTCATTTCCCTTCCCATGGTTGGTTTTTATTTGGCTTTTGCTCTGTCTCTTCCTTGGTTACCCCATCGGATCTGACTGTTGTGGAAGAACCACCTGCCTGACACAACGTCCTATGTCTTACTCCGGTCTTAGCACCCGACCTGTAGCATTCTGGACAGAAGTCATCAAAGCCAGCGGCTGGTGCCCCCTGGGGTGTTCCTTAACCCTTCTGTCACTCACCCTGCCCTCTGCAGCTCCCTGGAGAGCCCTCTCCCCTGGTGCCTAGTGCCCTGGGGGTGGGATGGGCTTGCCCACAGCCCAGGCTCAGGGTAGCGCTGCCCCTTAGATCCTGCTCAGATTCTGGTCTGGGTTCCTGCTTGTACCTCTCTTGGAGTGTGGAGGCTGGCTGACTCCTCCTGTGCCTCCTTTTGCTCTGGTACATGCAGGGCCACCGTGCATGTGCGGGTCAACGACGTGAATGAGTTTGCACCAGTGTTTGTAGAGAGGCTGTACCGTGCTGCAGTGACAGAGGGGAAGCTGTATGACCACATCTTGCGGGTGGAAGCCATTGATGGTGACTGCTCCCCCCAGTACAGCCAGATCTGCTACTACGAGATCCTCACGCCCAACACCCCCTTCCTCATCGACAATGATGGTGAGCTCCCCCTGCCTCCCCTGCCTCAGCACATGTACACCCACATATCTCAGGGTGCTCCAGGGCTGGGTTCTCCAATCCTGCCCCTTAGATGCTGACTCCACACCTTCCTTCCCAGATGGGGAGCCTTTTTCCCAGACACCTTCTTCCCAGCTTCCTGCTGCCTAATTAGCTCCCAGGGCCTCACCAGGCTTTCACTAATGGTCCTGACCCTTGCTCTTTTCCCCTACGCCCACCCCAGGGAACATTGAAAACACAGAGAAGCTGCAGTACAGTGGCGAGAGGCTCTACAAGTTTACAGTGACAGCCTACGACTGTGGGAAGAAGCGGGCAGCAGATGACGCTGAGGTGGAGATCCAGGTGAAGCCCACCTGTAAACCTAGCTGGCAAGGTGAGGAGCTCTGCTCTGTGACCCATTTCTGTCCCTTCTGACAATCGTGGCGGCTAGGCTAGGAGTCAGGGGAGGGATGTTTGGGAGCAGTTCACCCTGGCTGGCTATTTTCATCGGGGCTGGAGGCTGTCAGTGGACACGACAAGAGCAGAGAGGCTCAGAGGAGCCATCCTACTCTTCTCTTTCCACTGCCCTCTTCCTTTCACCCGTGCAGGCTGGAACAAAAGAATTGAATATGCACCTGGCGCTGGGAGCTTGGCTTTGTTCCCTGGTATCCGCCTGGAGACCTGCGATGAACCTCTCTGGAATATTCAGGCCACCATAGAGCTGCAGACCAGCCATGTGGCCAAGGGCTGTGACCGTGACAATTACTCAGAGCGGGCACTGCGGAAACTCTGTGGTGGGTATACCCTCCCCCCAGGCCTTCACCTGGCTCTTTCCTAAGAATCTGCTGCTCCTCTTCCTTTGCCCAGCACAGATGTATGTACCCGCAGGGGTTGTGGCATGTGGTTAGCTCTTGTGACCCAAAAAGCAACTCAGTATGTCATAGGTATAATCATAGCACAAGACAGTCGCCAGATACACTGTGGAACAATGGGAGGGAATGAAGGAGACTTGGAGAATGAATTGAGTTAACTGGGGAGCTCTTCTTAGAAGAGACGTCCATCCTCTGTGTCTTTAAAAAGCCCTGAAGAGGCTGTGAGATGAGTGGTAGGAAATCTGTTCCCATTAGTCCCTCTTCCTCTGCCTGCCGCCCTGTGTCCCACCTGCTGCCTCCCAGCTCTGACACTTGTGCCTTCTGGGGCTCCTGTAGGTGCTGCTACTGGGGAGGTGGATCTGTTGCCCATGCCTGGCCCCAATGCCAACTGGACGGCAGGACTCTCGGTGCACTACAGTCAGGACAGCAGCCTTATCTACTGGTTCAATGGCACCCAGGCCGTGCAGGTGCCCCTGGGTGGCACTGTTGGGCTGGGCTCTGGGCCCCAGGACAGCCTCAGTGACCATTTTACCCTGTCCTTTTGGATGAAGCATGGTGTGACTCCCAACAAGGGCAAGAAGGAAGAGGAGACCATCGTGTGCAACACTGTTCAGAATGGTAAGCCTTGCTCAGGACACTGGTCTAGGAGTGGGCAACCCAGCTTCTTATCCTGCCTCCATTCTTGGCCAGTCTGTGGCTGTGGATGGACCCTTCTTCTCGCTTCATTTGTAAGATGCAGTGCTAGATTATTTACGCCCTGAAATTCTGTGATTGACTTACAGTGTAGCAGGTTGACGTCGTACTGCTCTCAGAGTGCCATGGGCTGCTTGCTCACTGTCATCCTCTTTGGCGTTGCCCAATCCCCCTGCTTCCCATCCCTCACATCGCTCTTATTAAAGGCCCTCCATTGCAATGGAGAAGCCTGGGTAATGGTGGGCCCCATTCTTTCCTTTCCCTCACCAGCCCGTCTCCCTCCAGGAAGGGCTAGTTGGCTCCCTTTCCAAACGCCCCTCTTCCCTCTGCTGCAGTGGTACGTACCTCTCGGAAGGGCTCAGTCGTGGCCTGATCTTTTATTTCTGCTACTTTTCTGAGCTTATTTCTCTTGACTGGGAAAGGATTGTCACTCAGGAAGTCTGTATTAACTGAAGGACTAAGGAAGATATGGGTGGGAGCGGCTGGCCAGCATCCCTCCTCAGCTGGCTGGGGGAGAGAGAACGCCTAAGAGGACCAGGACAGTGCAGGGCCCTCTCCCGCTAGTGCTCTGAAACTGCTCTTGCCTCAGGGCTGTGTCTGACTGCCCTCTCTGGCCTCTCCCTCAGAGGATGGCTTCTCTCACTACTCACTGACAGTCCATGGCTGCAGAATTGCCTTCCTCTACTGGCCGCTGCTTGAGAGTGCCCGCCCGGTCAAGTTCCTCTGGAAGCTGGAGCAGGTGAGGCCAGTGCCAGGCTCCTGGGAATGCTGGGTGGGTGTAACTCACCTTCAGGGACGGCGGGTCCTGGGGCAGGGTTGGCATTTTCTGGGTTGCCCTGTGCCCCTCCTTCATGCTCCACTTTCAATTCCTGACCATTGTGTCCCTGGGTTCTCATCTCTTTTTCCCAAGCTTGTCTCCTGCTGGAAGCACTCCTGGATTAAAAAGAACTAGGGAACAAATTACTACCACATAAGCCCAACCAATCAAGCATCTTTTCCCTCTTGTTTTATGTCATGTCTTTCTCATCTAGAACCTTAACACTACATGTCTCTGTCTCTCAAACAGATAAAATGTTATTGAGAGCATCAGTAAATCTGAGGTATACAGATTGGGTCTGAGTTCTGCCAGGGTACTTATTAGCCATGAAATCGTGGTTGATGTGTCCAAATCTCAGTTTCTTGACCTATTAAGTGGGGAAGAAGATAAGAATTCTATATCCCAGGGTTATTATAGGATTAAGTGATGTAATAGACCTTCTAGACAGAATAGAATGTTAATTCTCACTACTTTTATCCATGATTATGAAGGATAAATACAAATGGACAGACAAAAAAAAAGTAAAATTTTCTCTTGAGCCAACAGTTGCAACCTATTTTATTCATTCTCCAAGCTGACCACAAGGACCAGTGGGGACTAATTTGAGTTTCTATTTTCCTCTGATTTTCTTGCAAGTCCCGGCAGAGTGGCTGAGTAAGTAGATGGCTGAAAAAAGGCAGGAAGTGGAGGAGAAAGAAAGGGAATTGAAGGGTCTAGAAAATCCACAAAATGGATAATTGAGGGCTGTCTATGAAAGCTTTTGCTTTTTGTGGTCCTCTTTTATAAGAGATTAGTCTGCCATTTGCTGTTACTTCATCTTTCCCCTATGTTGCTAATATTGGATACATTACTCTTTCTACTTTTACTTGCTCTTATTTATTCAACAAATATTTATTAAATATAAATTAAGTCTCTGTCATTCTGCTAGGTTCTGGGGATACAATGGAGTATAAGATGGAAGAAAATCTTTGCCGTCATTGAGCTTATGTTTTACCTGGGGAGATAGATATTTCAAAACTAAAAAGAATAATAAAAATAATGATAAATGCTCTGAAAGAATAAGCAAGGGACTGAAGTCAGGAATAGGGGAAAGCAAGGAGAGGGGAACTCACTGTCCAGGATGGATTGACTGAGGTGAAATCGAAGCTTAATCCTCAAGGATGAGAAATGGCTGTGAGAAGCATGTTCCAGGCAGAGGGAAGAGTAGATGCGAAGGATCTGAAGCAGGAGAGAATTTAGCATTCCAAGCATGGGAAGAGGGCCGGTGAGGTTGGAGCTCAGTGAGCAAGGGGGAAAGCTGGCTATGAGTTTGGAGAGGTGGGCAGTGACCAGGTTCTACAAAGGACTGTCAGCTGGAGTTTGTTTAGATTGTGTTCTATGAGGGATAGGAAGCCTTTAGAAGCATTTGAAGCAGGAGTGTGATCTAATCAGATTTACATTTTAAGATGATCCCTTTGGCAACAGGGAGGAATGTATTGAAGAGATGTGAGTTTAAGCATATAGAGAAGACCATTGCCCCAGTGCACATGGGAGAGGTCGAGGCCTTGACAACATGTGGCGATGGAGGTGGAGAGAACCGCACAGAAACCCACAGCTCCTGTTCTGTTAGGACCCAGAACCAACAGTACCACTGATGGTGTGGATGTGGAGGATGAGGGGAAAGACAAGGATCAAAGTTGTCTCCTGGGTCATCCATTTGAGCAATGCAATGGACAGTGGAGCGTTTATACTGTCCAGGGACAACTGTGGGTATTGGAAAAGGCCATGGACATCCAAGTGGAGAGCCCGCATTTGAAGGAGAATTCTGGGCTGGAGAGGTAGAGCAGCCTAAATAGAGTATCTGAACTCATGGGAACAGATGAGATAACCCCTGGGAAAAACAAGTAGAGAGAAAAGGGAAGAAGGTCTAGGTGGAACCTTGAGGAATACCAACATTTGAAAGTTGACAAAACAGAGATCTCTACCCCTCATTCCTTTGACCACTCGTCACCCCCATCACAACTGACCTTAGGATAAACTGCAAAGGGAAGCCTGTTTTAGGGGTTCCTGCTGGGTCACAAACTGCTTTAGAGGTTCCAGTGCCTGCCATCCATCCGTCCATCCATCCATCCATCCATCCATCCATCCGTCCATTTTTTGAAATAAATTTACTCATGAAATAGCATGTTACTTCTCTTAGGAATGCTTGTAGTTTTAAAGATTTACCTGAACCGTGGAATTTGAGGTCCTTGGTGCCTGGTAGATTTTGGGCAAAGATGTTATTCCTTGAGCTGGGTAAGGTGGCAGTTGACTAGTAAGCCCTGTTGATGGACTGTGAGAGGAGCAGTGCCTTGCATTAGTTCCCTGAGTGGAGTAACGAGGGGTTCTTGCCCTTACCCTGCTCCCCCAGGTCTGTGATGATGAATGGCACCACTATGCTTTGAACCTCGAGTTTCCCACAGTCACGCTCTATGCTGATGGCATCTCTTTTGACCCTGCCCTCATCCATGACAATGGTCTCATCCACCCGCCCCGCAGGGAACCTGCTCTCATGATTGGGGCCTGCTGGACTGGTAAGTCTCCCTGAGCTTCTCAGTGAAGACACTGGGGTTGGATCCTTCAGCCAGGTAGGACTGGTGAAGGAAAAGGGCAGCCTGACTGCGGCTGGGCAGGGTAACTCAGAGGTCTTCAGTGGAGGAGACCGTGGCCCCCCATGCCTCCCACCTATGCATCTAGTCATCACCTCTGACTTGGAGGAATTTCCTTCTCATGTAGCACCAGAATCTCTCTCTCTGTAACTTAAGCCAGTTCCTGATTTGTTCCGTCGGTGATGATGATTTCCACAGCCCATTCCCCTGCTGGAGGCCAGAACCCTTCAGGAAGTCATCAGTCTTCCAACTTTTAAGCTATTTCTTTCATCCTTCCCTTCTGGGAGCACACACATGCATGCATGCATGAATCTGTGTCTCACCGGAGTCCTTGTGTTTTCTCAGTCACATATTTGGGGTGTGGCTATAACAGAGGCTGGCACGACGAAGAGTTAGGACTCGGTGGTGAGGTTGCAAGCCCTACACAGGCAGAGTCAAAGCAGGGAATACCTCCTGTTCCTCTCTGTCAATCTGTCCCCACAACCCTGAGCTCACTGTCTTCTTTTATTTCCCTCAGAGGAGAAGAACAAAGAGAAGGTGGCGGGAGACAACAGTGCAGACCCCACACAAGGTACTCTGTGCATAAGAGCTGGAGACCAGAGCTTTCCTCTTTCTGTTCTGGGCTCCCTTTTCCACCCCAAATTGTGTCCAGCCTCACTGTTTCCCCACTTCACGTGCCACCAGGGGGCAGAGCCTCTGAGAACTACCAACAGGCAGGGTTCCTTGGAGAACTAAGGCAGGACGGAGCTTGGCGGCCCCCTGGGTGCTCCTCCCTGTGTACAGGCTCCCTGTCCCTCAAGTCCGTAGCTCCCCTGCTGGTTCCTCATGGCGGGATGTGGGAGTGAGGAGGCAGGCCCACCGCAGGGAGCGAGGGCCTCTGTGGAGCTCCCACACTCATCCTGCCTATCCTGCATGCCCCTGTAAAGATGCCCTCCCGCAGTCTCCTTGTCCTGTCTCTCCTGCTTTCTGACTTCCCTTTCTCCTTCTGCTGGAAGCTTTCCTTGTCTCTCCCTCTGCCTCCCCCTGGCTTCATATTGTCTCCCGTCTCCTCCTCTCCCTGCCATCTCCAATCTTGCCCAGCCTCACTTCCCTTCTCCTCTCCTTTCTTTCCTCTTTTAGTGTCCACATTCTCCTTTCCATTTTCTTTCTCAAGCCTTCTGCTCTTTCTTTTTTCTTCCATTCTCTCAAAGCCCTTTCCTCATCCTGTCTCTCCTCTCCTCTTACCTCCTCTCACCTCCCATCCGCTCCTGTGTTCCTGCCCTAGGACACCCTTTGCTGATCCACCACTACTTCCATGGCTACCTGGCTGGTTTCAGCGTGCGCTCAGGCCGCCTGGAGAGCCGCGAGGTCATCGAGTGCCTCTATGCATGTCGGGAGGGGCTGGACTATAGGGATTTCGAGAGCCTGGGTAAAGGCATGAAGGTATAGCCCTGCCCTCCAGCCCTCTCCTTCCCGGCATGCTTCCTGCCCCGTCTCTATCTCTGCTCCCACCCTCTTCGGCATTCTGGTTCTGCTCTCAGCTGTGTCTGTGTCTGGGGCCCAGGTCCACGTGAACCCCTCGCAGTCCTTGCTCACCCTGGAGGGGGATGATGTGGAGACCTTCAACCATGCCCTGCAGCATGTGGCTTACATGAACACTCTGCGCTTTGCCACGCCTGGCGTCAGGCCCCTGCGCCTCACCACTGCCGTCAAGTGAGTGTTGGGTGGGGTGGGCAAATCACAGAGCAGAGCCAGAAGGTGTCAGAACTCCTTGGCCCTGATGTCACCTAGGGCTAGGCACACCTCCCTTATTTTATAATGGTGAGGTTGGGTCCCAGATTGGCAACTGACCTGCTCCATTGACGTAGCAATGTTCGTTCCTAAAAGAGACCTGTGGACTAGGCTCAGATTTCCCAACCATGGATTCATTACCTTTTCCACTAGGCTACACTTCTAGGATTTGGGAGCTTTAATTGCTGTGCCTCTGTGCTGATATGTAAAGTGGGACAGGGAGGGTATGGATTGGGAGCCAGGAGATCTGACATTAATTCTGACTCAATACTAATTGCCTGGATGACCTTGAACAAATAGCTCTAGTTCTTTCACCTATTTTAATCTTGATTCCTTAAATGCAAGATCAAATAAGCCTGGGGGTTGGCAACCTATGGCCTGGGGCCAAATCTGGGCTCCTGCCTGTGTTTATAAATAAAGTTTTATTAGAACACAGCCATGACCATCACTTGCATATTGTTTACGGCTGCTTTCCTACTGTGATGACAGGGCTGAGTAGTTGGGACAGAGACAATGTGATCCAAAAGCTGAAAATATTTACTGTCTGGCTTGTCACAGAAAGTTTGATGACTTTGAATTCTAAATGAATGATTTTAAATTCTTTGAAAGAAAAATTGTGCATTACTCCAAGGTTTAAGTATACTAGGTGTTTAAAAATACAGATTAATTGAGAGGTAATAGAAGCATAATAGTTATGGACACAGAGTCTGTTACCAGCTTTTCAGCATTAAGCAAATGTTATAAAGCAGTGGAATTGTTATGAGAACTGAATGATATAATCCAGATGAAATGCCTATCAGAGTGCCTATTAGGCAAATGTGGGCCTTTATTCTATGAAGGCAATATCACCCCTTATGGCTCACGGGGCAGTTTTCCAGAGGTACTGCCATCTAGTGGGTGGATCACACAACACAGGACTCAGGGATCCCGATTAACCCTTCCCTTCTCCCCTTCTCTGCCTCAGTTTTTCCGTAAGCTGTATGAAGATAATAAACATCTCTCATAGTCCCTATCCTGGGAAGGGTAGGCTTAGAGCCCTAGTCAGTGATGGGCATAGTGATCAGGCCTCACAATTAAAGCCCCAGAAGGCAGGACAGCGGTTCTTGGGAACTGGGCTGCAGGTCCCTGGTGTGGTCCTTGTGTGGTCATGGTGTGGAGTGCAAGGTCACAGGTAGATGAGGTACATGGGTGCAGATCATAGCTGAGTTTGCGCCCAACCTGTCCTAGTGAGAACTCTAGTTATTAAATGGCTGGTAACCAGGTTTGAAAGCTTAATCCCTAAGAGAACGAGCAGTTACCCCATCCTCTTCAGTATGTTCAGGGGCCACGTCAGAGGGCGGGTGGAGCTCTGCAGAGGGGGTCCCAGAGTGGGGTGAGTTCACATCCTCTTTGTGGATGGGCTCGTCTAATCCTGCTTCCTCTTTCATGCTGAGAACCTGATTTTGGTCCTTCAGTAGCGAGAGGGGGCCTTGTGTTCTTAAGAGGTTAAGAAAGAGAGAGCTCTCATTTCTCCATTGGTAGGGCCACCGTGTAGTTAGTGTAACCCTAATACTTCCTTGAGGTCATGGCAGAAAATGTGGAGGTAGGTGTGTGTGTGTGTGTGTGTGTGAGAAACATGGAGAGACAGATGCCTGGTGGCACCCCCCTTTTGTAGATGCATATCCTTGTCCTTGTCCAAGTGGCTTCTCTAACTTCCCGTGCAGATTGAGTTCTTGGAACTCTGTCTCTTCAAAACCAGATTTATGCAATTATTCTGTCAATACAGACTTTCCCAATGGTTTTTAAAGTTTCTTTCTTGGAAAGCCCTTGTATTTATGCCTTTAACCCCTGAACAGATGGCCACCACATCTCTCTAGCTTTGTCCTCTTTCCATAGCTCTTGAATTTCTACCTGCTTTCTATAACCTCTCTCTAGACATTCTGCTAGAACCTCAAACAAGAGAGCTGAAGCTGAAATATGAGCTTTAATGGTCAAATAAGTCCCAGCCCCTGAGTTCTCTTCTTCTGCAGTGGAGTCTCTGTCCTTGCAGTCACCCAGGCTTGAAGCCTGTGAGTCATTCTGGATTCCTCCCTGCCCTTGTCCTCCACACCCATTGGTTGCCAGGTCACCTAGATGCCACCTCTGTGCTGGGTATCTGGAATCTATCTCCTCCTTTTCCGTTTCTGCTGTTGTGACGCCAGCCCACATTACCTCTCACCTGGCCTGTTTGCTGTAGGCTCCTAACCAGGTGACCTACCTCTAGTATTCTTTTTTTTTTATTAAGGTATCATTGATATACACTCTTATGAAGGTTTCACATGAAAAACATTGTGGTTACTACATTCACCCATATTATCAAGTTCCCCCCGTACCCCACTGTAGTCACTGTCCATCTGTGTACTAAGATGCCACAGAGTCACTACTTGTCTTCTCTGTGCTACGCTGTCTTCCCTGTGAGCCCCCCTACACCATGTGTACTAATACTACCATGAAATCTCCTTCTCCCTCTCTCCCCACCCACCCTTTCCACCCGCTTCCTTTTGGTAACAGCTAGTCCCTTCTTGGAGTCTGTGATTCTGCTGCTGTTTTGTTCCTTCAGTTTTGCTTCGTTGTTACACTCCACAGGGAAATCATTTCTACCTTTGGTATTCTAACTGCAGTTCACTCTCCACTCCAAGGTTAGTTTGTTGATCTTAAACGAGAATGTTCATCCTCACACCTCCCCAGTGAAGGAGGTATTGGGGGCTTCCTCTTGTCCACTGCACAAAAATTGCACTCAAAGCCCTCAACTGTCTGCTCCAGCTGTTCCTGCTTCATGTTTCTTTACTCCCTTTGGTATATGCCTCACCGGGACTCTGGGTTAGCCTTCTGCCTAGTGAAGTCCTCTGCTCCTTCAAGGCTAGCTCAGTTGCTACTTTTCTTGATTATTCCTACCCTCCCTTGCTAAACACCCCATTCCCATGCTAGCCAGAAATAACCTCTCTCTCTCTGAACTGTCATGGGCTTTGTGTGTCTCACTCACATGATGGTGACCATGTCTGCCCTTGTTTTAAGGCTTCTCTATCATATATAATTTCTCGACCAGATTATTAGTGCCCGTGGGTCAGGGCTAGCCACCTATTTCCCTTTGCATCCCCTTCGGATTGCTCATTGCAGTGGGAACGTCTGCTGGAACATATGCTCTGAGGGTTGGCTGGATTTTTTTCCTAGAGGCTTTGTTCTGGGCCCCTCAGAATGACTGTGTGGATTGTCTTAGGCCCTGCTTCTTATGGCCCAGGAGCCCAGCAAGTTGTGGGCACTGGTCATTTCAGGGCCTCTGAGCTCATCATACCTGCTGAGGTTGCACCTTCTCCCTTTGGGCTCCAGCAGTCAGGCTGGGCATGCTCAGTACACCGATAACAGTCCTCAGCAAAATTATTTTGGTTAGCACAAGCATGTGGACCCTAGGCCCTGCTCCTGAATTACCAACTCCCTTGTGAAGACTGCTTGTTCAAGGGGGTACTTCTTTATAAATAAATTTGACTGGTGCAAACCCAGGCACCAAATGGTGTCTGGTTTCATGGGAAGATTGTGAGTTTGGAATGAGAAGAATGTGTTTAGGTCTTGATGCTGACACCTGTTTCTTGCATGGCCAAGATGCTTGATTCAGGTAAGAGTTTTGGTTTCATCCTCTTCCACAGCATTTAGATAAGGTTAAATGAAATAGTTTGGGCAAATGCATAAACCAGCAAGTGCCATGAGCAAGGGAGGCTTCGTGAATATTGATTGGCAAGGGATGGGGCGAGATCCTGGGAACGCGTTCTTCCCGAGTGGCTGTGTCATTGGCTGGTTTGGCCTGGCCGGGTTCCCTAGGGAGAGTTTGTCCTGACACCCACATCGGTGAGGCTTCTTGGGATAATGGTCTGTCAGGTTAGCTCACCTACCAAAGGAAGTTCATCCGACATTGGACATTGAGGGGAACGAATGGGAGACTCTCTAAGGAGGAGGACAACCTCTGAGAGGCCCCGCCCCATCCCACCCCACTTCTGTTTTTGAATATTTTTGAGTAACTATCCGCCACATATTGTACTGAACACGCTTAAATTTTTTTTTTTATTTTGGTATCATTAATCTACAATTACATGAGGAACATTATGTTTACTAGGCTCCCCCCATCACCAAGTTCCCCCCACATACCCCCTTACAGTCACTGTCCATCAGCGTAGTAAGATGCTGTAGAATCACTACGTGTCTTCTCTGTGCTGAACATACTTTTTAATTTAAATCTCCTGGGTAAAGAACTGTGCATGTATATACATTTTTATAAGTTCAGTTTGCAAATAACGTTTGATAAATGTTCCACTGTCTTGGCCTGGAGCATTGATGATGTCGTCACCCCGAAGGTTGGGGTTGCCTGACCTGTTCCTGACCCTTTCCTGCAGGGTGTCTCACCTCCACCTTTGCTACAGGGGCAGTGGTGGTGGTGCAGAGACACTATCCCCCTTTCCTCCCCTCCTGCTCCCTGACCTGGGGGGCTCTGCAGTACAGGTGGTGGCCTGAGGGGATGCAACAGAGCAGAGATGGTAAGGGAAGGGCTGTTGAGGTCACAAGCTTCTTCTCTCCCCTCTTCTCACAGGTGCTTCAGTGAAGAATCCTGTGTCTCCATCCCTGAAGTGGAGGGCTATGTGGTGGTTCTTCAGCCAGATGCCCCCCAGATTCTGCTGAGTGGCACTGCTCATTTTGCCCTGCCAGCTGTGAACTTCGAGGGACCTGAGGGGATCCCTTTGTTCCCTGATCTTCAGATCACTTGCTCCATTTCTCACCAGGTGGAGGCCAAAAAGGATGAGAGCTGGCAGGGCACAGGTAAGGATGGCCCTGGGGATGATACCATCCAGAGCAGGGGCCCGTGTTTGGAAACAGAGTGAGGGAGAAAATCTGGGCCCAGAAACGAGAGGGGCCTCATCCTGCATTTGCTTGACTAGAACCACTTACCATTAGGAAGTAGAGCCAGTAGATGACCTGTGGGTGTAAGGAAATTGTTGGGTAACATCATCCTTGAAACTGATGCTGGTTGTTATCAGGGATGAGGCTGGGAGGGGAGGAGGAGTAGCCATGCGGTGGGCCCTTCAGCTCTGACCCAGACCCTGACTCTCCTGTCCAGTGACAGATACACGCATGTCGGATGAGATTGTGCACAACCTTGATGGGTGTGAGATTTCTCTGGTGGGCGATGACCTTGACCCAGAGCGGGAAAGTTTACTCTTGGACATGGCATCCTTGCAGCAGCGGGGGCTGGAGCTCACCAACACGTCTGCCTACCTCACCATTGCTGGTTAGTGGAGACTGAGATCTTGTCTTCTTTTTTTGTGTGCACCCCTCCCTTTGAGCAAGTATCTAGGAAATCCATAGAGTCCTCTTCCCAGGCCTAGGGATATGGCCAAAGGACATCCTGCACCTTCCTAGCATGGAAGATCCTCTGCTTCCAGATTGCCCCTAGAGAACGTGTGCAGGGTTTAAGCTCCAAATGATTCTTTCCCGCAGCTGTTTGATACTAGCCATCTCCTCCATCTTCTATCTCATAATCTCATGTACACACCACTGTTGTAAGTTAAGAGCTCATTTCCTGGTGAATAGTGGTAATGATTTGGTAGCTTCCAAAGGAAGCCTGTTCTTCTCTGAAGGCCCCTCCCTAAGGAGGAGGGTGAAGATGGGCATAACCAGTTCCCTCCTACTTCCATTCCCTTCTGGTGCCTCACTGAGGACTTCTGCACTCTCCCCTCTTCTCCGTTTCCCTCCTGCCTGCCATCTCCCTTCTGTCTTACTTCCTTCTCTCCATCCCTTCTCAGAAGCCACAGAGCTACTAGTAAAGGGCAAAGCAAGGATGGGGGCCTTGGTCACTCTGTCCCAGTCAGGCAGGGCCAGGTGGGGGGCAGTGGGGGGCCTCTCTCCTGAGAACGCAGGTCACAAACTGCTGAGAGGTGGGCCTCACCATTCTGTGGCTTTGCGTGGTATCAACTGGTGGGAGTGGGGCCTTGTCTCTGCCCCTCCCCTGAGCTGCTTCCTGGCCCCCAGGGGTGGAGAGCATCGCTGTGTATGAGGAGATCCTGAGGCAGGCTCGATATCAGCTACGACACGGCGCTGCCCTCTATGCCAGGAAATTCCGGCTTTCCTGCTCAGAAATGAATGGTCGTTACTCCAGCAACGAGTTCATTGTGGAGGTACCCAAGGAGTCTCATTCCTTGCACAGCTAGGAGGAGCCAGGGTGGAGTGGACTAGAGCCTAGGGATGGTGGGAATGGAAATTGCAGCATGAGGACTCCTGGGATGGGGGCGGGTGGAGAAGGGGAGAAGCTGTGGGGCAGTGGTTAAGAGACGGGCTTCAGAGAGCTGGGCGAGGGCTGGGTAGGAGAGCGTGGACCCACTGAGTGCCCCCTCTGCCAGGTCAACGTCCTGCACAGCATGAACCGGGTGGCCCACCCTAGCCACGTGCTCAGCTCCCAGCAGTTCCTGCACCGAGGTCACCAGCCACCCCCTGAGATGGCTGGACATAGCCTGGCCAGCTCCCACCGCAACTCCAGTGCGTAAGGCTGTGCGAGGCCAGGCAGTGCTGGGTGGAGGCAGGGGAGTGGGCTGGGCACAGGCATCCCCATCCTGACCCCTGGGAGTCAGTGGGTTCTGTTCCTGGGGCACCTGACTTCACTGACTGCTGTATTCCAATCCTTTTATCGCCCTGGATTGTTAACTTCCCCTCATGAAGAAGGTGAGCCTCTGTTTGTGTAGGGGGCACTCATGCTTGGAATTGTGAAGTCAGTGTGGGGTTTAGGAACCTTTGCTGTTCTGTGCCCTCCACCAGGAGCATAAGGAAAAGATCAAATAGCCCTGGATCTAGGGATCCTCTGTAGTGCAGCTATCAAGTATTAATCAATTAATTAATTAATTAATTTTGTGAAATGTGATTTTTAATCATTATAGTTATATTTGCAATTTTTTTGTTTTTATTTATTTATTTATTTAGTTTGGTATCATTAATCTACAATTACAGAAAGAACATTATGTTTACTAGGTTTCCCCCTTCACCAAGTCCCCCCCACATACCCCTTCATAGTCACTGTCCATCTGTGCAGCAAGATGCCGCAAAATCACTACCTGTCTTCTCTGTGTTGCACAGCCCCCCACCCCCGTGTCCCCCATGCACTATACATGCTAATCATAATGCCCTCTTTCTTTCTCCCTACCCTTATCCCTCCCTTCCCACCCATCCTTCCCAGTCCCTTTCCCTTTGGTAACTATTAGTCCATTCCTGGGTTCTGTGATTCTGCTGCTGTTTTGTTCCTTCAGTTTTCCTTTGTTCTTATACTCCACATATGAGTGAAATCATTTGGTTCTTGTCTTTCTCCACCTGGCTTATTTCACTGAGCATAATACCCTCTAGCTCCATCCATGTTGTTGCGAATGGTAGGATCTGTTTTTTTCTTATGGCTGCGTAATATTCCATTGTGTATATGTACCACATCTTCTTTATCCATTCCTCTACTGATGGACACTTAGGTTACTTCCATATCTTGGCTATTGTAAATAGTGCAGCGATAAACATAGGGGTGCATCTGTCTTTTTCAAACTGGAGTGCTGCATTCTTAGGGTAAATTCCTCGAAGTGGAATTCCTGGGTCAAATGGTATTTCTATTTCAAGTATTTATTAAGCAGCTACTGTGTACTATTAGTGCTCTTAGGATTATAAAAGAATTATAAGATAGGTATGGTCCCAGGCCTCAAGGAGGAAGTTAGCTCTGTTACATATTATGTGCTATCTTTAAAGCCATAACACTTTCTAAAACAAAATAGGCGAATACGCCAAGTATGACATCCAGGTGGAGGGCTGCCTATCAAAACATCTCATTCCCTGGCCCTGGTCCTTCAGCAGTGATACAATTTTTAAATTCCTAATTTAAGAGTGGCTTAATTGTAGAAAAACTAGAAACTACAAATATAAAGAAGAAAAACCAGCCATGATTCCATCACAGAAAGGTAACCATTGTTAATATCGTGGGTTCCAGTTTTTTCTTATACTTACTCTTTTTTTCTGTTTACAAAGTTGGGATCAAACTGTTTTGCAACCTGGTATTTACACCTAATCTTACAAAGTAAGTCTTCTTTGGCATTATTAAAAACTGTAATATGAGTTGGATCCTGGGTCTTGCTATTCAGATTAGGCTCAAGGTAGAGCCAGGTTGGCATTTCTGCTGGGCCTGGTGAAAGCCTCAATCCTTATTTTCTCTGGTATGAGGTCCCGGGGGGTAGAGTCCCCCTTCCAGCTACCCCAGGGCTTCCTCCCCTGAGCAGCTGCTGCCCTGCAGTGACTAGCTTGGCAGGCCGCCCTCTGCGCTCCTCCTCTGTGGCTGCCCGGGGTGCTCTGGCCTGTGTAAAGCTGCCCTCATCTCTCTTGGGTGAAGCCTAGCCTCCCTGTCCCCTGTTCTGAGCTGATGTCCAGGTCAACCAAACTTCCCTCTGAGATTCCAGTTGGGAGAAGCAGCCTGCTCTCCCCTTTTCCCTTACTTTGGCCTGAGTAGGGTGCAGAGTTTACAGCTCATTGGAAGGCATTGGTGATTGACATTTTCTGAGCTTATCAGGAAATCCACTTCTTAAAACCCATTCCATATGCCTTTTCTGACTCTCTCCCTTCACCTCTCAGCTGCAAGAAAAATCAGGCATGATTCCATCACAGAGAGGAAACCATTGTTAATATGGTGGGTTCTGTTTTTTTCTATGCCTGTTTTTCTGGTATGCTTTTTTGTTTGTTTTTGTATGCCTATTTACTTTTCTTTTTACCAAGTTGTGATCAAACTATTTGTAATTTGGTATTTACACCTAATCTTATGAAATCAGTCTTCTTTGGCATTATTAAAAACTGCAATATGAGTGTGTTACAGAATTAGGGCTTTGCAATTTCAAATTTCTCTAACCCAGCAGAAGCAGTAAGAGAAAATTCTCTGCAAAGGGACAGGAGGGACATTCCTCTGAAGCCCCCAAGTGCACCAGCAAAGAGAGGTCAGTGTGGATCGGGACAGTCAGGGAAGATCGCATGGTGCCTGTGGAGTTGAGTGTGGACCTTCAAGGGTAGGAGGGATTTTGGATGGGCATGAGAGAGAATGAGAATGTAGACCTGGGGTGAGTGGATGGTTGGTTAGGGGTGTTTATGGTTAGGGAGAATAAGGTAGTCTGAGAAGGGCAGGTTGATGAAGACACTATTCAGTCATCTCAAATTTTGATACACATCAGTATCACCTGGGCAGCTGTAAAAATACTTGGTGATCAGGATACACCTGCTACCAGTTAAATCAGAATGAGGGTGGGAGCTAGGCAGCAGTGAATTTTAAATACCTTTGGGTGATTCCAGTATGCAGCAAACTTTGGCAACCATTTATTGAGTTTCTTTCCTACAAGTATCTGAGGCTTTGCAGAAAGGCCTACAGTGCAATAGGATGAACACAGAAAATGAATTAGGGAGGCATCAGGAAAGCACAATGATGAAGGAAGAAGATGAAGCCAGGGAATACAGTCAGTTCATAAAATACACGCTGTGAGATAGTGTGCAGTTGCTGGAGTGGGCCGGAATTCTGACTCTGAGCTTCCTTGTGGCCAAAGCAAAAGGAAACTTGAACAGTTACAAAAGTCCTATGATAGGAGCCCACCGGTATTTCAAGAGAAGCCCCAGGACTGAGAGCAGAAGGGAGTTTCCCCTGAGGCTTCATAAAGGGGGCACCACGCAGGGCTGGGGACCAGGCTTCCAACAGTGCCCTCACAGTCAAAGGACACCAGGACTTTCACATAGGCCATTTTCTAGAACACCCCTTCCTGTTGAATTGGGAGATCATTCAAGGCCAGAATAAACTGCTCGGACCTCATGCAGCAAGAAAGGTTGATTGTACTTCTTAAATTCTTCATTTTTGTCTGTAGCTAATTGAAAAGTCCTGCCATCTCCCTGGCCTCCTGGCTCATTTTAACTAATTAACTATAGTGCTTGCCTACAGATGGGGTGTCTGCATTTCTTTCCTGTGGTGGTTTCTTATTCCTGGCAATCAGCTTGTCATTTCCTTTGCTAGGCCAGGGGCTCAGAGGGTCAAATGCACTGGATCAGGCACAAACCAGAATTCTGGCTTGTCATCCGTGTGCACCCAGAGCCAGTTCACCTGCTGTGGCCTCCACTCTGGGGGTGGGGGTGGTCTCCATTCCTTCTAGAGCCTGGGCTTAGCCACAGGGGCCACGTGCTGGGGGGTCGCCACTCTTGGATCTTGCCTATTTTCACAGAGACCTGGGGAGGGACTGTCCTGCAGATGAGCAGAAAGGGCAGTTCTGTCCCTCTCTCTGCTCCTCCCCGGTCCCCAGGCAGTTGAGAGGTATTGATTCAGCCAGGCCCACTTCTGCCCTGGAGCCAGTGCCCAGGGAGCCTGTCTGCCCTGCTCGGCAGAGTTGGCTTTCCTTGGCGAATGGCCCCAAGTGGGCTATGGGTCAGGTCAGGATGGGGACCAGCTTGGCACAGAGCCGTCAGGGCGGGCTCAGGGAGGCAGGAGGCTAGTGTGTGTGCCTCACGGGGCATTTTCCACATGCCTGGCTGGCCCTGTGGTGTTTGGCGTACATGTGCTGGCTGCTGGGGAGGAGGTGTGCAGAAGGCGTGTGGGGCTCCCTGCTGTGCGCTCTCTGGGCTCTGCTCTGTCTTCTGACATGTGGGTCCTAGACGCTGTGGATGAACGCAGGACTAGGAGATGTATCTGTGGTCAGGGGAGCTGCTGTGCACACAAGCGGCGGGAGGGGTGTCCACCCACGTGGAGTGTAGTGGCCAGGTTCCCGTGAAGGCTCTGGGCCTGGTGGTGCATGTGTGGGGTCTCTACCTCCACCTGCTGTCCCTGGGGCTGCGGGCTCTCCTGCTGTGCCCCCTCCTGCTTCCAGGAGGGCTGTCTGTGTGTGTCAGGAGGCGGGCAGGGCTGTGCTCATCGCTGCCTACTCTGTGGCCTTTGTGGCCCATGTCTGTGGTGTTTACGTCAACCTCCTTCTTGGGGTTGCCTGGTCTGTCCAGCTGGCAGGGAGCTGGGTGATCCTGCACATATGGCTCTACTCTGCCTTGCTGGAGACCCTCAGACTCAGCCTTTTGATTCTGCTGTGTGAGCAGGCCACTAGGGGGCTGGTGCAGGCAGTCGTGCCTGGCGGCAGAGGCCTGGCTTGGGTGCAGGGTGTGGAGACCTTTGTCCAGCTCTGTGCCACACATTCTTCCTGGGCACCTACGCATGCATTTCTGCTTTGCTGTTGTCAGCTCTGAGGTCCGTGTGAGGGTACCTGTGCCCTTCCGTGTGTCACGCCCTCCAGTGTTCATGCCCTCCTGAGCCTGGGTGTCCAAAGGTGGCGGCGGAGCCAGAGGCATGATGGGGCCAAGGGGGTGGTGGGTGTACCTCAGGGGGAGATTTGGGGGCAGAAACCCCAGATGTCCAGACACCCTGAGCCCACAAGGAGAAGGCAGGCGTCACTGTGCAGGAGGGAGCTCAGTCCAGGTGGGTATGGGAAGGGGCTGCTCCTTGCCCCTTGGACTGGCTCCCAGCCTTGGGTGCCAGCACCTCCTCCTGGCAGCTAGCCCAGGCTTGGGGGCCTGTCTCTGCTCTTATGGAGGGGAGGTCATTCTCTTCCCCGGTGCCATCAAGCCCCTGTGGCTGCCGCTCTTTCCCCCACAGGCACCTCCTTCCGAGGTACTGGGCACTGAGTGGTCCCAGTGAATGGGCAGGATGACCTGTCCTTGCCCAGTCCACTCCAGTCCTTGCCCTCTGGCTGCTGAACGCAGGGTGGGGAGCCTCTGCCCCCCTCTGCACGCCTCCCACCTTCCCTCTGTCTGCCCCCTTTCGGCCCCAGCAGCAGCTGCTCTGCCCCCTTCCCTCCTACGTCCCACCTCTCCAGGTGGGGCCCCATCTCTCCTCCGTCTCAGGGTGCTCCCTGGCCCTGGGCCATCATGGAGCCACCCTCTCCTCCCTGTCCCCCGCGTCGCACGCCTCCCTTCTCACCGCGCCCCTCCCCTGCAGTGGTCCCGAGCGCGGCGACCCTCATCATCGTGGTGTGTGTCGGCTTCCTGGTGCTCATGGTCATCCTGGGCCTCGTGCGCATCCACTCCCTTCACCGTCGTGTTTCAGGGGCCGGCGCGCCCCCTGGAGCCCCCAGTGACCCCAAGGACCCGGACCTCTTCTGGGATGACTCTGCCCTCACCATCATCGTGAACCCCATGGAGGTGAGTGGCCCTGGGGAGTGGGGAGATCCAGCTGGAGCGTCCACGCAGCCCCTGCTGAGTGGCTAGGCCCTGGGCAGAGAGCTCCAGGCAGGCCCGCAGGAGTGGGGAGAGGGGGCCTGAGGGAGCGAGGCCCCCAGAGGAGAGGCTGTGGGGCGTGGGCAGGCCCCGAGCCCCTCTCTCTGCCCCTGCCTCGTCCAGTCCTACCAGAATCGGCAGGCCTGTGTGGTGGGGGCTGCTGGTGGCCCTCAGGAAGATGAGGACAGCAGTGACTCCGAGGCAGCGGACTCCCCCAGCAGCGATGAGAGGCACATCATTGAGAACCCCCCACACCGCTACTAAGGCCTACACCCATCCCCAGACAGAATTCTGCCCTGGTGAGACAGAGACGCCCCCAGAGGACATTCTGAGAGAAGAGAGACCAGGAGGGAGAGAGCTCCCCTGAGGAGCCTTTCATCTCATGTGCTGGTGGCCCACCTCCTCCTCCACCCCCAGCCCGCCTCCCCCCTGCCTCCAGGGCTCCTGTTCCCCTGGGGTGGGAGTCTCTCCTAGGCTCACCAAGGCCTGGGTGGGATTGAGGGGACCCTGCCTTCCCTCTGCTCCTGTCCCTGGAGGCCTTTCTCAGCTGGGCCATCCCTGCTTCTCTTACTGCCCCTGCCCCTCTTTCCATTTCACCCTGGGGGTTCCTGCTGCTTCTCCTTGCCCACGTTTCTTCCTCTTCCTGTCCTCTTTCCCCTCCTCTCCTGGTCTGAGGTCCTACCACCCCTGCCCCTTCCAACACTACCTGGTTGTGGCTAGGTTGTGGGGATGGGAGGGGAACGGGGGCCTGGGTGTATTATATATAATGTATATTTTTTCATGTCGTCGTGAGCACAGCCCGTGTTCCGTGTGCAGCTCACAGCCTTGTGTGTGTGTGTGTGTGTGTGTGTGTGTGTGTGTGTGTGTGTGTGTGGCATTGTCATGTCCTGGGGTGGGGGTCGGGGGGATGGGTGTGGTGATGGAGGGGACACACCCTAGGGTTTTCCAATAAAACAGTCAGAAAAAAACTCTGTGCCTCCTGCTGGATCCTGTATGGGCGGCAGGCTCGTGGGTCTCAGGGCCCATTCCAGGCTCAGGTGGGGGGCCCCAAAGCGCCAGGCCCCTGCAGGTGTCAGTGGGGGGCAGATGGCTCTTTAGCACCTCCTGGAGAAATATACAAAATTGAGGGGACACTGTCAACCCCTCCCTGTCTCTTGGACCACCTGGAACACATGCAGCCCACCTGGGAGGGTGGGCGGCCCTGCTCCCTGCGACAGGAGAGGACGGGCTCCGACACAGGTTCCCCAGAAACCAGATGGGGTATTTCAGAAGAGTGGAGTTAGCGGGAGTGTGCTTCCTATGGTATCCCCACCCCAGGAAATACCAGGGCTCCATGTCTGAGCTCCTTTCTGTAGAATGAGGGGCTCAAGTACCAGCCACCTTCTCCCTGGTTCTCTGTGGCTGGGCTGGAGGTGCTGCTTACTGGCCCACCCTGTGCTCCATCCAGGCCAGTCTGACTTCCCCTTCCACAGCCTCCACTACCAGTGGCGTGTGATGCCTCCGCATTTATATCTCCCACCCAGACATCCTTCCTGACCCATTTCCAGCTCCCTATTGGTGTCTTCATTCAGTCACTTTTGTGCCTCAGATTCAAATTTTGCCTAAATTCAACTTATTTTCAGTCACCTATCCTGTTCACCTTTCTCCCAGTTACCTAAACCGAAGATCTGGGAGTCAGTCTAAATTTCTCTCTCTCCCTTAACCTCATGTTCAAATGGTGTCATCTCTACCCCTTGAAACCTCTCCAATGTGTTTTCTTTTTCTTCCCCCTACTGTCGCTGCCCCCATTCACACCCTTTTCAATATACATTCTGTTGCAAAAGCCTCCGACCTGTGCCCCTGCTTGCTCCGGCCTCCCGTATCTTGCTCCACTCCAGCCCAGCTGTCTGTCTGAGGGACCTTTTAAAGCGCAGCTCTGGTTGTGCCAACTCTCCTCTTTAGAAACTCCCATACGCCCAGCACTGCCAGGGTCAAGTCCTGAAGTCTGGAGAGGCCTCTTAACCCAGGTGGGTCAGGCCTTGCCTCCCTCGCTGCCTGGCCCGCTCCCTGCCATCCACCCCCCCGCCCACGCCTGGGCTTCAGTCACACAAACCATGAATACTTCCCCAAACTCACTCTGTTCTTTCTTGCCTTCATGTCTTTGCACATACTGTTCCCTCTGCCTGGCATGTCATTTTCTTTGGTGTGCCTAGTCATCTTCTACTTATCGGAGGACCCAGTTCAAATGCTGCCTCTTCCAGGGTGTCTGCTGTGCTCTGGCTCCGCTGTTCATGCCTCCAGACAGCGCTTCCTGTGAGTCTGCTAGGTGCACTGGATTCACTGCACCCTCATCTGCTCACATGGGGCCTGGTACATGGCCTGGGCTCTACAGCTGGTGGTGAGGTGGTGAGTGTGGCTCTCAGACTGAGAGAAGACTTCTGTGTGGGAGGGGAGAGGAGAGCTGCTCTGGGGGCCCTCTGGCCTGGGAGGTGAGCGCACAAAGAGGGGACAGTGGCCAAGCAGATGCGCTGAGGCAGCCCCTCCTATTGCAGGGCCCGGATGTCTGTGGCAGTGCCAAGCAGCAGACAGCCACTGCCTGCTCAGTTTGGAGCTGCTCAGCAGCTCAGGGGCCGGCTCAAAGGCAGAGCCCTCAGATGCCTGGGAGCTTTAGCTTAAAGGGGCATGGGAGAGAGTTTGTGGTCTGTGATCTTGAATCCCACTGAGTTCACCCCCTCCCACCTCTTGCCGCCTCTCCTAGTCCTCGCGCACCCTTGGCCTCAGAGCCCACAGCTTCCTGGCGGGGAAGCAGCAGCCAAGTGGATCCGACTGGCTCTGTGTTTGTCTTGGGGCCCCTACACTGTGGCTGGGACTCAGAAGGTGGGGTCTTTATTCACCTCCAGGACAAGCCCCATCTCTAGGGAGCAGGTCAGGGAGGGGGTGAGCTTGCTGTGAACTCTGACCCCTTAATCCACACACATCTGCAGCATAGAAAGGCAAATGGCAACAAGTTCTACGGGGGTGTCTATGCAAAGTCTTTCTTTTCGCTGCTGCCCAACCTTGGCCTGATCTGGGCCTTCCTGATCATCTATCTCTGGGACCCAGTGGGGGTCTCCTGAGTTGCACCATTCTACTTGTTTCCTAGAGACTCTTTCTGGAATGAGAATCACTGAGCACTGACCATGTCTCTCCTGTCCCTCCTCTTCACCCCCAGAGTCTGACACTCCAGATCTCAGTCCATGGTTACCACCATCTCCCTATATGACAATATAGGGTAGACGTGTCCTGTTGGGGTGGGGTATTAGTAGAAGCCTGGAGGCCTGGACACACTAGGAATCAGGAGTGAGGCAAGATGCCAATTCCGATCATGCAGAGAAAGGGCAGCAGGCAGGAGTCCAAATGGGCTTTTGTGTTGCTGCTCAAGCTCTCCTGGAAGGAAGCTCCCTCCCTCCTCACAGCAGCAGGCGGAGCCTCAGGATGGCAGGCCTTGGGGCAGGGTCTCCAATTTACCTATACCCAGTTTAATTAGAAACAGCAAACACATCTCCTTTGGCCTAACTCAAACCTTTTCTTCTGCATTGGGAGGCTGTTTTCCCCCTAAGTCCACTCTCTGCAGTGAAAATTAATGAGCTTCTGAAAGCTGTGTGATGCAAAGCTGTGCCCTTGGGAAGAGCCGTGCTTGAAGGCAGATACGGTAACCACCAGTTCAAGAACAAAGTGCGTCTTCCTGTTACCAGACCAGAGACCTGAAAACTCACCTGTGTGTCTTCTGGGTGGGTGGACGCAGACAGTGGTGGCGGGTAAGCGCAGCGCCGCTTGGCCTGCCCCAGGAGTCTCAGTTCCACTCTGCAGCCCCCAGGCTGCTGCCTCAGCAACATTCTGAGACCTCCACTTTCTGCACCAGCGCTCCCCTCTGGGGGCGTAGGTGGGTCAGGCAAGAATGACAGATCTGCTGTCTTCTAGGAACTGAGGAAGAGCTCCAAGGCCCTTCAGATTTTAATCTCCATGTTGGGGCTCCCCAAAGGGTGTCTCCTAGATCCCCTGCCTGGCCTTCTCCACCTCAGGGCTCCCCTGCACCGTGCGCTCATCGGGGACTCCCTCAGACCCTGGCGTTTCACGGGGGTGTCTGTAAGCACGAGCTGAGGACGTGTCCTCTGTGCACTGCGGTCCTGGTTTCCCAGGCTCCACCTCCCTGGCAGCCTCTCCTCACCGGGTGTCCTGCTTCGGGCTCACAGGGGGCTCCCTCCTGGGACAGGCGGAGTGGAGAGGAGGGAGGGAACTGTGCAGATGACACTCTGGGGTGGGCATGTCTGACAGGAGGAGCTGGCACGCTTACTGTCACCGCGCTGGTGTCACTGCATCTCCTGTAGATGTCGCTCCCCTAAAATACCCATGTCCTACAGGAAAAGGACAGATGAGGGTTTAAATTTAGTGGCAGTTGGTAGGAGTGGGGTGGGATGGGGTGGGGAGAGACTGGGGTGTGGTGAGCTGGCTTCCTCAGAAGAGCAGGAACCCTGGCGCCAGGCGGGGATTTTAATCCACCAGGAGAAGGAAACCTCTGTCCCAAACAGCCACTCTCACAGACCTGAGCTGAGTGTCTGGGGCTCTGCCCATGGCTTCCGCCCTCTCCCACCTCCCGCCAGATGGTCTTTTTCCCTTTGGTGGGGGCAGGTCAGGATGGTGCTGCCCTTTGCATGGGCAGCACTGCCTGGCTCTGGGGGAAGCAGGCTGTTAATGGGCAAAAGCCACATTCAAAAGGGCCTCTGATTTTTAGTTAGAAGGGCAGCAGCCTTCCTTTATTCCATGGTACAGACAGGGTCAAGTCCAAGGGCTGGGAGGGCAGTATGACTTCCAGACAACCAGGCCAAGCCCCAGGGAACCAGGCCCTGGGAACGTAGGCTGCTGCTCTTGGTATCTTGTCCCCTGACGTCTCCTCACAGACCACTGGCCAGTGACCTCTGCCTCCAGACCCCACTCTTGTTACGTCCTCTTCTCCCTTTGAGGAAATCCTCAAGCACAGAGGGGCACCTCTTGCTGGGTGAGGCGGTGGGGAGGATGGGTCCATGGGCTTTGCTGTTAGCCTGCCTGTGTTCAGATCCCAGCAACTCAGTGTTCAGACTTGGTCTTTAGCTTCTCTAAGCTTTGGTTCATCACCTAAAAAGGGGAGTTGCTTACTCAAAGGGTGGAATGAAGTTTAAATAACTTTTTCCAAAGTAATGCAGAATTGGCATATTGCACGTTAGCTAGCATTATCATTAATTATTGAGGGACGGACAAAACCCTCCAGGGCCCCAGTGACAATGAGATCTGTAAAAGCAAGAAGTATTGGGATGGCAGATCCCTAAAGTTCCCTCCGGCACAGTTTTGAACACATGCTTTGGAATGAGACACACCTGGGTCTTCTTCACCTTGGCAGCTTACCGAAGCTTATTATGGCTAATGCTCATAGCAGAGTGATTATTTTTAGAGTTGTCAGCCTGTTTTAAACAGGCACAGGGTAATTTTTTAATAGGTGGGGGCTTTTGCTGCCAGAACTTCTAGGGTCTTAATAACTAAAAACTCACAGGCTTTTGGGAGCTGACTTCTGTGGTTGACCTTGAGCTGGATGGGTGAAGGTGACCTGGTACTGCAGTTAAGGCAAAAACACAGAGATTAATTCACCAAAAAGATGGTCTTTAGGTCTCACCCTGAAATGGGTAGAATTTTAGCTATAAAGAAATGCCTTTCTAGATAAGGCATTGGTAGAAGGAATCACTTTTGTGCTGCTGTGTTTTCTACCAGGTTTTCACAGAGCCTCAAACCTCAAAAGGAGTTAAGTTCCACTCCTGAGCACATGTATGTGAACTTTGTGCAGCCCAAGCAGGCCACACCTATGAGCCTCTAGCTGACGGTGTGAACTGTATCATGGGGCCAGGATCTCAGATCATTAGGCTGCTCCACAAGCTCCTGAGAGTTACCTCCAACCATCTCAAGGTGGCTCTGGAATTGTAACCTTTACAATCCTTTGGTTCATTGTAAAATCCTTGGTCATAAATTTGAATCTTGAAGAACTAGACTGTGGCTATTGCTACCAAGGGTTTTATATCTTTTCCAATAAATAGATAAAAAGAAGTGGAGATTATCTAAAAGACAAAGATAAGAAATAACACATGCTGGAAAGGATGTGTAGAAAGCAGAATCCTCGTACACTGTTGGTGGGAATGTAAATTGGTGCAAATGTTGTGGAAGAAATATGAAGGTTCTTCAAAAACTAATAAAACAAATATCATTTGACCCAGTCATTCCATTCCTAGGAACTTACCCAAAGAAAACAAGATCCCTGATTCAAAAAGACATATGCACCCCTATGTTTATCTCTGTGCTATTTGCAACAGCTAAGATACATAAGCAACTTAAGTGTCCATCAACTGATGAGTGGATAAAGAAGAAGTGGTACATATACACAGAGGAATATTATTCAGCCATAAAAAGAAAAGAAATCCTGCCATTTGCAATGACATACATGGATCTAGAAGGTCTTATGCTCAGTGAAACAAGTCATGTGGAGAAAGACAAATTCCAAATAATTTCACTTATTTGTGGAGTATATAAACAAAGCAAAACAGAAGTAGACTCATAGACACCAAGAGGGGACAAGTGGTTACCAAAGGGCAGGAGTTGGGGAAGGGGAAAGAGAAGGGTATTAAGGGGCATAATAATTCAAAATCTCAATATAGGTTGGTTACAGGGATGGTAGTACAACACAGTGAATGCAGTTAATGGTTCTGTAACATCTTACTACATTAATGGGCAGTGACCACACTGGAGGGGAATGGATTTGATAATATGGGTAACTGTTGACTCACTGTTTTTTATTTGAAACCAACATAAGATTTTATATCAATGATACTTTAATTAAAAAGGAAAAAATTGATCAAAAAAAAAAAGAAGTAGAGATTCCTTGTTATATAAGGGATGTGGGGAAAATGAAAGTTCCTGTGGCTGGGATCCTCACCTGACCCTAAACTACTTGATGATGTCACTGGCTACTGCTAGGCTAATGATTACACACACGTTGGCAATGAGCCAGTATTGCCTGTGTTGCTATATAAAGAGCTCCACCCAGTGCTTGGGGCAGAACAGGGTCTGGAGGCAAAGGTGGAGCCTGGAGCAGAGCACAGGCTGGCTCCCCGCTGGCTCCCAGAGGCACAGACAGAGATGGATTGCAAATGCCCCAGAGGCAGACATGATTCCAGCACTCAACCTGCCACCGTGAGAGTAAAGCTTGGTGTAAACCCTTTTACCCCTGATGTCCCATTGTTATTTGGTCTCCCCAAAACCAGAGTGAACTTGCCCAGGGCAATCCTCCTCAGGAGAGACAGAGATATGCCATTTTCTTGTTAAGACAGAGAAATAACTGAACTTACTGCAAGTCAAGGACACAAGAATGCAATTAAAAATGCCAATGTCTGGAATTTTCTGACTCTAAGAATCATGTTTATTCAAGGAGTCAAGGAAGAACTGGCTAAAACACCACCTTCATGTGGATTTGGTCTTATTCCTGTAGCAGGAGAGATGGATTTGAAAGAAAAACAGAAGACTGATGAAGCTAGAGGAAGAGAAAGATTTCACTGGAAGAAAAGTTTGTAGTCTTTGAAGACAAACTGGACACATTTGAAGGGAACATGAAGTCTGTGGACAGTTCAGACACGTATGAAAGGGAAAAGGAGAATTATGCCAGCCTGATGACCCTTGATTAGAGGATTAGGAAAGAGAGGCCACTGACAGGGCTAGAGAATCAGGTAAGACATGAAAAATATGGAAGGAATGCAGGACCTAATGATTAAGGGGAATTTGCTGAGACATAGGTGGGGTATGCTAGTGAGACAGGGATGGTGGGTGTAAGATAAATTCTAGCCGAAATAAGCAGGAGAAGAGAGGCAAAAAAGGGCCAGGTAGTTTATTTGAATGCAAATTCCCAGGTGATGTTCTGCGGTCTGGCTATCACAGGCTGGGGAAGTCACACTCAGCAGGGCAGGGAGTGAGTTTTTAAAGAAGGTAGGGGAAGGCAGAGCTTAGATTTACAGTGGCCCGAGGATTGGCTAGCTTGAGGCACATTTTTCAGGTTGAGAGGGGGCAGCAGCTGGGGCCTTTGGCACGTTATCAGTGTCTGACGTGCTCACCCCTCCCCCCAGTGCCTTCAACCTTACAGTGCGCTTAGACAGAAGTGGGTGAGGGCCTCTGGAAAAAGCAAGGCAGGATATTTACAGTCAGAGCAATGTAACTACGTGCAAGGAAACCCTTACTAAATCTCTATGTTAAGCATTAAGCTCTAGAGTTGTTCTTCAGTGAGATCAGTTAATATTCCCCAGATAAAGAAGAGTAGTACATGTTTTTATTATGCTGATCATTTGTAATCATGTGTAAGATTCACCTTAGCATGCTAAAGGCCCAGGCCTAATGTGCCGTCTTTCCTCTTTCAGACCTGATGAGGTGATTTGCAAACTGGGCAACTAATTTAGCATGCAGGCCCAGCCATAAACAACACTGTAAAAAGCAGGAAGGATTCCATCTTAAAGATAAGATTGCATTTTAACACTCAGGAAGTTAAGATTCTTAACTTACTCTTTAGCAAACAGACAATAACTCAGCCCATCTTGGGGGCTGGGCAGGCAGCCTTGTTTGATATGCTCCCAGACCAAGACACTGGTATCTCAGGGAGAAATCATCAGAGCAGGAAGTTGCCTGTGTTAAGTTAATTCTAAATATTCAGGAACCACTTAACAAGTCCACATCCCTAAGCCTTTATCCAGTTCCCAAAAATCCTCAACCGCCTATAAAACCCCTAGACAATGTACCACTACGGGCTCTCTTGTCCCCTCCTGGCATGAGCCAGGAGCACTGACCTCTCACTGTATCTCTCAATAAAAGCCTCTGCCCTGACTCTCCTACCTTGGGTGTTTGCGAGATTCATTCTTCGACTCCGCAAACAAGAACCCTGGCATCACTAGTGGCTCATCTACTCAGGATGGGATAAGGTACCATGCAAAAGATGCCCTGCTAATTTGAATTGTGAACTGGTTCAGCTAGAAGCCCAGCCCTGCAGCCAGCAGAGGTTAATTCCCCCAGGAGGATGCTCAGTGAGTTCACTACTGAGACCCACCTTGGCAGCAGCCTCATAGTCCCCAAGTGCTCCTGTCCTGCTCACCAATCTGACAACTGTTTTATGGCACTGACTTTTTGACTTCGTAACCTCAGCCTTCCTGAGATAATCAAACTGCTCTTCTGAGAAGACATAAAATTGAGCATACAGATAGTGAAGTAAATAATAATATTCTGAACTTAAGTTTAAGGTAAATTGAAAAATCTGTATGAATTTAAATTAAACTTTGCATTTTCAACTTGAAATATCTGTTGATTTTAGAGTGACTATTTTTAGTTGAAAGGTATAAGATACTGCTCAAGCTTGTAAGTAAATGGTAGAACATTTAAGACAAATCTAACATCTGAAAATGGCAAATCAAGTAATTAGATTTACAAGAGTTGTTAGGTTCTAAAAAAGATTTTGCATGTAAGGGTTGTAAGTCTATCTACCTTGTCAGGCAATTGAAATACATGAGGAAAGAGAATCTAGTATGTTAAGCATCTGAATACAGTCTAAAATGGTTATGGAAATTTTACTAAGTTTGTGGATGAGACTAATTGTTAAGAAAATTGAAATCTATTCCAGTTGAGTCAAACATCAATCAAAGAACAAGTGGAAGTAATTAAAGAAACATTTATAAATAGAATTTCAGGATTTGTAAGTTGAATTTAAAGGCTTAAACAGATTTATATTTACAACTTAAATGACTTAAATATTTAAAACCAAAGTAACTGGAAATAGTCTTTGCCACACACATTAGATATTACAACTCTTCACAAGGGAGTTTGTGGCACTTATATCAGTTGTTGGGTCAGAAGATTGACAGAGATCTAAAGAAATCTGAGATGGAGAAGACACAGCCCAGAGAAGACCGGGGATACCATGAGGGGACTCTGGGCCAGGACACCTGAGAGGTGGCCCCTCAAAGCTGTTGTAGAGCCTATGGTAGAACAATTGAAGGTTGAAAGACTGAAGATAAGAGTGTAAAGGAGTGCAGAGAGCATCAAGAGTCAGGAAAAAGAACTAATAAAACTTAGCTAAACCTTAACAGCAGACC